CGGACAGCTCATCCTGCCACTTCCGAAGGAAGTCCGGTCCCTGGCCTGGAGTTTCAGACCCTTCAAGTCCCTGGCCGTTAGCGTCCCCTCCCCGCGGAGCTCCTTCACCCACCAATAGAGGACTGACCTCTCATCGGTAAGGAGCTCCACGGGAGGGACATCGGCCAGGGTGGTCGCCGCCATGTATGACACGGTCCGATACCCTCGAATCGCCCTTATTAACACCGGCCTCAAGGCCTGCCGAAGGGAGCGCTTTCTCCTCCGGCAGACCAAGAGGCTGGGCGCCCATATGGGCGCCCCGTATAGGGCGATCGAGAGCACGACCGTGACATACAGGCGGCATGCCATCCATCCTGGGCCCCCCTGGGCGCGCATGAGGCTGGCCACCGCCAAGCCCGCTTTGCGCACCCTGGGGGCCAGGACGGTATGGGACTTTTATGTTTATCTTAACCCAATCTACCTTCACATTTCGGCTTGTAAACTTATAACCCGCCACCCTATATATTCTATATATTTTGATATTTTTTTATTCAATGATGTTATTCTTATTATAATTGATGAAGTGTCAATAACATATAATTTGACTTTTATGTACATACATCTTCGATATAGTTCTTGGTGCAACCGCGCCAAGATTTTCTGTATTAAATATTTTTTATTGCATTGTTATAATAATTAATTTGTTATAACAACAAATAAAATAATCATATAACTCAGTGTTCTAATAAATGAAAAATTTTACTTGTAAAAATTTATGTTATGGACATTTTTGTAGCTAAGGTTGTCTTGAATAATAATAATCTTCAAAAACATATTTTTTTAAATATTGGACACTATTAATAAACGTTTTAAATGTTTATAATACGATATAATGTTTATTTGTAAAAGCTTATGTAGATATATATCTTAAAAGAAAAATAATTTGATAAGTTTTATTTGTAAGAATTTATGTACATAATATATATCTTATAAAAAGTAAATAATTTGAATTTGAGATTTCTAAAAATATTAAGTATACAATAATCATATATATATACGTTAGGTTTCTCAGTTTACGCTACTGTTCTAATATATCACTTCTTTTGTACATATAATAGTGTTGTAGAGCTTTATTATAGTTATAAGTTTTACTTGTAAAAATTTATGTACATATATATACCTTAAAAAAAATAATTTGAGTTTGATATTTCTAAAAATATGTGTTGCGCTTGTACTTGGCGCCTTTTTTTACCTTGTTGTTTAAAAAGATAAGTTTTATATAAGTTTCACTTGTAAAAACTTATGTTATGTATTATCTTTAGAAATTTCCTCTCTCACTCTCCCCCCTCACCCTCTCATTTCTCTCCACCTCTCTCTCACCCTCCGTCTCCCACCGTCTCCCTCCCCCTCGCCCTCCCTCTCTCCCTCTCTCTCTCCCTCCCTCCCTCTCTCCCCCCCTCTCTCCCTCTCTCTCATTCTCCCTCTCCCCCCTCCCCCTCTCACTCTCCCCCTCTCTCTCACTCTCCCTCTCCCCCCTCTCCCTCCCTCCCTCCCTCCCTCTCCCTCTCCCTCCCTCTCTCCCCCCTCTCCCTCCCTCCCTCTCTCTCCCTCCCCCTCTCTCTCCCCCTCCCCCTCTCTCTCTCCCTCCCTCTCCCTCCCTCCCCCTCTCTCTCCCTCCCTCCCTCTCCCTCCCTCCCTCTCTCTCTCTCCCTCTCTCTCTCTCTCCCTCTCTCTCTCTCCCTCTCTCTCTCTCCCTCTCTCTCTCTCTCCCTCTCTCTCTCTCTCCCTCTCTCTCTCTCTCTCCCTCTCTCTCTCTCTCTCCTCTCTCTCTCTCTCTCTCCTCTCTCTCTCTCTCTCTCTCTCCTCTCTCTCTCTCTCCCTCTCTCTCTCTCTCCTCTCTCTCTCTCCCTCTCTCTCTCTCTCCCTCTCTCTCTCTCTCCCTCTCTCTCTCTCCCTCTCCTCTCTCTCTCCCCTCTCTCTCTCCCTCTCTCTCCCTCTCTCTCCCTCTCTCTCCCCTCTCTCTCCCTCTCTCTCCCTCTCTCTCCCTCTCTCTCCCTCTCTCTCCCTCTCTCTCCCTCTCTCTCCCTCTCTCTCCCTCTCTCTCCCTCTCTCTCCCTCTCTCTCCCTCTCTCTCCCTCTCTCTCCCTCTCTCCTCTCTCTCTCTCTCTCTCTTCTCTCTCTCTCTCTCTCTCTCTCTCTCTCTCTCTCTCTCTCTCTCTCTCTCTCTCTCTCTCTCTCTCTCTCTCTCTCTCTCTCTCTCTCTCTCTCTCTCTCTCTCTCTCTCTCTCTCTCTCTCTCTCTCTCTCTCTCTCTCTCTCTCTCTCTCTCTCTCTCCTCTCTCTCTCTCTCTCTCTCTCTCTCTCTCTCTCTCTCTCTCTCTCTCTCTCTCTCTCTCTCTCTCTCTCTCTCTCTCTCTTCTCTCTTCCTCTCTCCCCCCCTCTCGTATATTTTTTCCTATACTGTATTCTAGCATATTTCTCGCTTACTCGCTCGCATTCATTGCTGTCTGTTTCTTCAACGCTCCCGTAGCGCCCCTGGTGTCGGAAAAGCGAAATACACGCACTCCTGTGCGTCCGAAGTTTCTTACTTTCTTATTTTCTTACTGAATCAAAATTTTCCGTGATTCGGACTTTATCTTAAAATATCTCCACTTAGAGACAATGTACACAAAAATCACAAGAACATTTTGCTTCCTATTTTTTAAGGCCGAATCCATTGGGATTAAAAAAACCTCGATCGGTTTAGCTATTTCGTTCGTTTGAACTTGCAGTTTCGCGTAATATAGGCACGGTGTGCCTCGCGCTGTTCGGGCGCAACTTCGTTACGCTTGAACTTGGCGCGAGGCACTACCGTGCCTCTTGATAAAACGATAGGACACGATGAATCTCTACGCGAATTCTATCATACTCTAATAATTAAATATTTTCCTAATGATAGTACGATATAGTATAATGGAAAAAGTTCATCGTACTTCATCTTTACGCGTTATTATTTCTTTCGGATCCGATGCATGCGGATAGATTGCGATAGAAAATAATGAGAATCTCTGTAGATCCATCTATCGTTCTCTCTTTTTCGATGTTTTCCTTGATCACAGAACTTTGGAACTTTGAACTTTACAGTTCAATATGAACTATCTGTGGTATCTCATAAAATGATCTCGTAATTGTAGTCGCGAATATTTAGCGGCTATGTCGGCGTGAGTTTAAATGCGGTGTGGCGGGACGTAGGAGCGACAAGGTAAGGACACAAGCATCGACGTCTTCTCCTCGTCGCGCAACAGTTCCTAAATTGGCGAGGCAGCACTTTAGCCCGAGCGACTTGATGCTCCTCCCATATCGTTCTTAGGTCGTCTCGGTGCGCGATTCCTCAGACTTATGTGATTAATAACTCGATAATTATTGCAAATCTCGCAAAACGTTATGGAGCTTTTATGTTTATCTTAACCCGCACTATGTCTCCAAGAACTCTGCAACATTAGTTATGAGACACTCTGTATATTACAACTATAAACCGTCATTAAGAATAAATATTTCTTTAAAAAGCGACAATTGACGAAATAAAGTCATATATACAACTATTAATATATAATAAATATATAATTCTGTCTCAACATTATATGAAAAAAAACGTATACATATATTTTTATTATATAATTAAAAATTTATGAGGTATACAACAAAATTTGTTTTAATATTGGGGATTTGAATAAGTTCTCGCTGTTTCTCGATAGATGGTGTTATCTTAGCCTTTTTGCATCGGATAATACTACAGCCAACTTCATTGTGAAGCCCCACCATTAGGCTCGAAGTAACAGTATATGTTATTCCGCCGAAGCGCAAACAACATATTTTTTCATAGCGTTAAACATGTCGAATTTCGTGCCAAAAAAGGAGTATTTGCGGGGAATTTTATTGCATTACTTTTTCAAAAAAAATCTGCAGCTGAAGCACATAGAATTCTTGTGTAGACTTACGGCGACCATACTCTGTCGGAAACAACATGCAGAGATTGGTTTAGACGCTTTAAAAATAATGATTTTGATGTTGAATATAAAGAACGCTCTAGCGCACCGAAAAAGTTTGAAGACGAAGAATTGGAAGCATTACTCGATGAAGACTCATATCAGACGTAAAATGAACTTGCAGAATCATTAGGAGTTGATCAGTTGAACAGTTGCCAAACGTTTAAAAGCATTAGGAACGATTCAAAAGCAAGGAAATTGAGTGCCGTACGAATTGAAGTCAAGAGACGTCGAACGGCGCTTTTTCACGTGTGAACAGCTACTCCAACGGCAGAAAAGAAAAGGTTTTTTGCATCGTATCGTGACTGAAGATGAAAAGTGGATATGCTACGATAACCCAAAGCATATAAAATCGGTGGGTAAGCCCGGCCATGCATCAACATCGACGGCAAAGCCGAATATCCATGGTTCCAAGCTCATGCTCTGTATTTGGTGGGATCAGCTGGGTGTAGTATATTATGAGCTCCTCAAACCCAACGAAACCATCATGGGAGATCGCTATCGACTACAATTGATGCGTTTGAGCTCAGCATTGAAGGAAAAACGGCCGCAATACGAGGAGAGACACGACAAAATAATTTTGCAGCATGATAATGCTCGGCCACATGTTGCAAAACCGGTCAAAACCTACTTGGAAACGCTTAAATGGGAAGTCCTACCCCACTCGCCGTATTCACCGGACATTGCTCCTTCCGATTACCACTTGTTCCGATCGATGACTCATGACCTAGCTGAGCAGCACTTCCATTCTTATGAAGATGCCAAAAAATGGGTCCATTCGTGGATAACCTCAAAAGATGAATCGTTCTTTCAACATGGTATTCGTATGCTGCCAGAAAGATGGGAGAAATTAGTGGCTAGCGATGGACAATACTTTCAATGACATGTTCTTTACTAATTTTTTTAAATAAAGCATTCATTTTCACGAAAAAACAGCGAGAATTTATTCAAGTCCCCAATATATTCCCGCAAATACCTATATATGCATGTGTGGTTCATATATTTTATTTATTATACATTTCTATATATAATATAATTCCGGTAAACTCTTCTTATAATATAGATCGGTTATTCAATATTAATGAAAATTCATATTCGAATGAATAGAACTCAGTTTCTTATTTATAAATATAAAATAAAATTTAAGCAACTTTGCTTTTCGCGGAGAGTCTTATGGCTAAGGAATAAGCATGTGGAAAATTATGCACAATTATGTACAGTATCCCCAGATACAAAATTATGCCAATTGTAAGAAAGAGGTCAAACACAGCCGGCTTTACACTGAAATAAAATAAAAATTATTATATAACTAAAGTCTATTTATATATAATTATTATTCACTAGATATTGTAAACATGTATTAGGGAGAAGGGCGCAAATAATTTGTTAAAAGCTGTTTTCCTTTTCGAAACTATTGGAGACATAGATTTGAAATCTTATTTTTACATTAAATAGAAAGCTAATTTTACACGTAAAAAAAATTGTGAAGAGAGACAAAAAGGCTTACTGGCTTTTTTATTGGAATGTGACGTAATTCTTTATTATTTCGATAGCTCTAAATTAATAACATTTAAAATGTTTTCTTTTTATTCTATTTCTGTTCTGTTCTTTTTATTGTTAATGTGTTACGAAAAAAAATGTATTTCAAAGAATAACTTTGGAACAATGTCGAAAAATAACAAAATACATGAATTTAAAACCGAAGTAAATATATTCTAGTTTGAAAATTGTTTTATTAAACATTCAAAATGTATCTACGGACATTTTACTAAGTGTTTAAAAGATGTTCACGGGCTTTTAAAAACGTATTAATACGTTTCCACATATTGGTTCGGACACCTAGTAAAATTAAAAGAGTAACCGTTTTACAAGCAATATTCTTATTTTCATAGCTTTCTTCATTGTTAAAACGTTATTTCATATATTATACACCGCTATTGCGGCGTGGCGTATTTCTTATTGATCTACACCAACAATCGATGCATACTCATATAGTACGCATAGATATGTAGATAGAATGTCTTCCTTTACGAAATATGAAGTGACGAACAAAATACAGAATATACGTTTACGATTAATAGATAAGCCTAGTACAAATAAAAGTAATGTTTGCTAGAATAAATTTATGGTACGTATTCTAAAGAAATCTATCTTGAAAAAATATCGGAGTGCGTAGAAATATGATATATCCATGTTCAAACATTCTCTCTCGCTTTTCCGCTTTCTTCGTGTATACATATTAACGAAAATATACGTTGTATTTGTACATCACTTATTAAAATGATGTTTATATTAAAATGAAAAAATATCAATTATGAATTGTGCAATGTCGTAGCTATATTTATAGGAACATATTGTGTATTACTAGATTATTAGTAGTTACTAGATGACAGTGAAACAAATGTTAATTTTGTGCAAAGCAAAACTTGTAAAATGATACTGATTTATACAAGTAACACATCCGGAATAAGACAACATATTTGCACAACTACCATTATATCTGATACTACCTGATACTCTAATATTAAGAGAAGATGAAGAAAGATGAATTAAGACATACTTGTATATTAATATGTAGCGAAGATTTACGTCCAATTAATTTTGTTGTTGTTCTAAGAGCGAGCGAGGCATAGTAGATAGCGCACTAGTCAAAGCTGAAGATAATGGGTTCAATTCCCGAAAGAACCGCAGAACCGAAAAATTGTATACAATCTCCTAAACCACCGAGAGTCCTGTCTAGCAAAATCTCTCTAATATTGCCGTTCGGAACCGGCGTTAATCTGTAGGTCCCGTATGTGGATAATCTAGGTGCGCAACACATGAAATAGAGTTCACCAATCGGAAATTGAATGTCCGAAATTGGATATGGCATATCAAGAAGAATTTTATTGGAAGTGAAGGCTTCTTCTCAAAATTGCACATGTGTTACTAAATATGAGTACGAAGTATGGCAAAATTGATGCGGCGTTAGTTTTGCCATATCATACGATCATATCGATCATATATTGTAAAATTCGACAAGCAATAATAAAAATTAAGAACGCTATTGCTTTTAAGCAATGCGCCATAATGCTATCACGTTGTTTTATTTTTATCGTTTCATCAAACGAAAGCACGATTTGACACTTCTAAGCTATATTGCCTTGGTTTCGGGACTAATCGGTTTCGGAAGTCGGGAATAATTAGGAATTTCAAGCTTCGACAGTCTCAACTGAGAGCATCGAGACAAATTGAACTCATTCCCGAAGAGCTCTCGTCGCTTCTATCCCCTCCACATTTCACAGGACAGCGACAGCATCGGAGTCGTCAAGCGTAAGCAATTAGGAGTGGGAGTAGAACAGCGCGCGTGCGAATTGCAAGCTTTTAGAGTTTTTATTTGATCAATGAAACTTTACTATAAAAAAACATAAAAAACAATAAAAAATGAATTGATAAAAATGAATTACTGTTAATGATGATACTACGAAAAAGTCACATGTAAAAAGTAATTTAATTTGGAAAATCATTGATAAAAATACTGTTTAGAGAACTTTTCGATGGCCTTGATCTTGAGATATATCATATAAATATCATATAAATCATCTTCCTGTATGGCCTTTAAGAAAGATTTCAGCCGGTGCTTTATTGTTTTGTTTATTACAAAATTATTAACAAAAAGGTTTTATAAATTTTTTTGTCATATGTCATACTGTCATATGTCATTCTGTCATACTGTAAAAAAGGTAAACTGTTAAAAAAGGTTAAAAAAGGTTACTGTTAAAAAAGGTAAACAATATATGTATGTGTAGGAGAGGGGCTCTACCCCTTCCCTTGTACTCTCCGAAAAAATGAATTTAACCTAACCTAATCTATTCTATATATTTTTGTATATGGTTTTTCAATGAGATACTTTAATGTGGTTTTATAATGTCCAGCTAAATATGTCGTAAACTCTATCTCCCGTAAAAGCTCCTAAAAGTTCTCAAAAGAAATTTTTCTACATATAAAATAATCAGCCCCCATATTCCATTTAATGTAAATAAAATTCAAGTAATATCTTTCGTGGTTTCGAAAAAAACAGCTTTCAACAAGTTATTTCAACAAGTTATTTAGTTTACTCTATATAAAAAGAAACTATATTTTTTACCTATATACATTCAGAGTTGCTTTTGCAACATCGTAGAAAACGAATTCTGGATCTCGTTTGTCAGGAGTGTGCAATGTGATTTTAACATCTCCTAAATATCTCGCCATCGCTTCTTTCAAGGTAGCAACTAGTAAATTATGCTTATCTGCTAGTAGAGATGCTGCTCTTGGTTGAGAAGCAAAATAATTAAACCATAAAGACAGCGATTCCTTCGAAACATCCTACAACGAAATATTTTAATATGAAATTACTTCTTAAATATTTATTATTATATATTATTTACCAACATTCATAATTACTAAATCTACCCTTATGAAAAAAACTATAAGAATACGAAAAAATTACTAGCACACTATTGAAGAATTTCAGTCTTTCAATAGTATACCAATAATTTTTTCGTATTTTTTATTTATTTTTGTTTTTTTCCGTAGGGGTATACATGATGCAGATTATTTTTAAGGGAGTTCAACTAGTAATTTTTCTAGTATATTCTAATATGTAATTTTTTTATAAAAATATATTTAAGATATGTACAATGTATATAACAATTAATGATAATGTTCATGTGCAGGTATAACGAATAAAATTGAACAAAAAAGTTGTCGAACATTCGCAGATTTCGCAATAAAATTATTAAAGAATTAATTACATAATTTACAAATAAGTGGTAAGACAAATTTTAAGCAAAATCTCATTCAAAGATGTCTCGAATCTATTGACGATCTCTTGATAATAATGGATGGTGCATAATGCTAGTCAATCAACAAGTTTAAGTCATGTCGAATGAGACTTTGCTTGCTTACAGAGTTCATCCTATCTCTTTCCACGCTCTTATTTGTTAAGGAGATCCTGGGGCGGCAACCGAAAGCCGATAACGCCCTCATCTGAGCGGAACTAAGAATATCGGTAATACTGAAAGTTTCAGTTCCGTTATTTTTGACATATATCGATATTTTTATAAAGACGCTCCGATATATAGGGTGTATGCGAATTCGTATTACAATTTTTTATCATACGATTACCGTGTGTTAACCCATTAACACCCAAGCGGACAAAGCAGGATACTCAAATGTCCGTTTACGTCCGCTTGGGCGTTAATGGGTTAATTGAGTTGTGTATATTGCACGCATCGAGTTATTACGGTCAAGTTCAGATAATAGATTCCTCAGCTGCTTGAGCTAAGATCCTAGAAAAAGATTGATACTTAATGTGGTAATGCATTATAAAAATATGAAAATGGCCACGAAAATTATATCTGTAGTGGAAAAGATTTTAAGACTCACATAACGTTATTTTTTACTATATTTTTATAATGTATTACCACGTTAAGTATCTATACTTTTTCGTACCAGGATCTTAACTCAAGCAGCCGAGGAGTCAATCATTTAAACTTAACCATAATGATCTGATGCCTGCAATATCTATACGTAACTCAATTAACTACAATGCCGTCGGTAATGATAAATCGTGTGATAAAAAGTTGTAACACAAACTCGTATATACCTTGTATATTGCGAAAATATATATTATAAAAATATATAGTATACATAATGCATATTATAGATTTTCAATATTCGCATTGTATATCGAAATATAGTCTATATATAGTCTATATAGGGTGTTCATTTGAAAACTTTCCAGCTAATTATCTCGAAAACTATGAAAGATATTAAAAAAAAAGCTAAAACACGTATTCCATGATTTCGAAGGAGAAAGAGAATGGCATTATTAGTTTTTTATTTAGAGGGCATTTTCAAGGTCAATTGGAAGCCAACTAAATTTTTTAAAATAGAAAGCCCAATTTTTTATTATATCTTCTTTTTCTACCAATTAATTTTAACAACTTTTATCTGAAATATTTTTTTATTTGCCTAATATTTGTTGAAATATTTAAGGGAAACTTGGTAACTTTTTCAACATTTAACATTTAACTTACGATATCTCACTAACTATCTGTCGAAAGAAAAAATAGTATTAGACTTTTTTACTTTATTTACTGTCAAGAATATATTACTATAATAGTGTCCTAACTTTTGTTAATTTATTGATCTTTGGAAATTTCAAAATTATCAAATTACCAAAAGTCAAGACACCATTGTAACCATACTTTTGAGACCAAGTAGAATAAAAAGGTCTCGTATCACTTTTTCTTCCGACAAACAGTTAGTGAGATATTGTAAGTTAAATGTTAATAAAATTGCCAAGTTTTCCTTAAATATTTCAACAAATATTAGGTAAATAAAAAAATATTTCAGATAAAAGTTGTTAAAATTAATTGGTAGAAAAAGAAGATGTAATAAAAAATTAGGCTTTCTATTTTAAAAAATTAAGTTGACCTTCAACTGACCTTGAAAATGCCCTCCAAATAAAAAACTGATAATGCCATTCTCTTTCCTTTTCGAAATTATGAAACACGTGTTTTAGCTTTTTTAACATCTTTCAGTTTTTGAGATAATTACCTGAAAAGTTTTCAAATGAACACTATATATAGAGCAATCTTTTAAAACACATAAAAACAGCAATAAAAAGTAGGAAGTTTTTTGCATTATATTCTATGTGTTGAGACATAAGATATCTTGAATTTTTAGTGTTTTATCGTCTCATATAAGTGTACAAACAATTTTATAACACAAATATCTATTTTTGTCGCACATATATTTAGAATACAATTCCATAATATTGCTCACACTGTTTTCGCTGTTTTTCCGATACATGTATTTTAAAAGGAATTTGCATGTACTTAATATGCAAATAATATATTTTCAAAACTTATTTTGTGTCTTATATAGTACATATCATTTATATAGTATGCATCGTTTTTGTTATGTACATACGATAGAAGGTCGTGCACGACGTAGATAGATGTAAGTCAAAAATATGTGGCTCAAATAATATTATTGCGCTCACTCTCGCACTCGCGCTTTCACTCGGGTAAATGACAACACCCGCGTAACGACTAAGAAGCTTTAATTTTTACAGCACAACTCGCTCACGTTTTAAACAAGAATAATTCTCTATTTTAATAATTCTGAATTCTCGCGTCTGTCTTCGATGACAGCTTGCCAGAGACTCTCTATCAGCTGTTCTTGTTGTTTACTTCTTATCGATTTTACGTCGTCAGGACAATCCTCACTCAGATGTCAAAATCAGCATCGGATGCCTAAGGCTCACGGACAACGGACGCTGCTACAAACCTTGTGGCTCGGATACAACAATATGAATAACAAATAACGATCAGCGGCGTGACAAAAGCGAGTGCGTTTCTTTTAATTGTAAAAAAACAAAACTGCATCGGCAGAATAACAAAAAGATGAGGCGCGTGAAAGGCCGCAGTCCATCGGAAACAAACGAACGAAGCGGATGAAAATTCGATGAAAAGTGATATAACAACCGAGGCAATAGCATATACATACACACCTCCATACACGATTAATACTTATAAACGAGCCTATATAAACATACACGAGCATAACGAGCCATAAATGAATAATAATCGAGCATATACATGAATAATATCCGAATAATACATAAACATACATAACAAGCGATACACGAACACATATAAGTTATACGAGTGTACGAGCAGTATGTGATTGTTATGGGTCAACAAAATAAACACAAAAATGTTGGTCTCGATACGACGCAACAGCTTTTGAATCGATATAAGTAAAAAACTAATAAAAAGTGTACCATGCAAACTTCTTAGCTATGTACAATTATTTATATATTTGTGTAATTTAATATAATAAATATAAATTTACAAATATCTACAACACAGCTTTCTCTTAAATATACCACGACATTATTATATGAAAAGAAAATATGGAATGGACTTCTCCGTTGCCCATTTCCGTGAGAACGCAACTAATATATTTTTTTTCGTTTCATCGATTTTTGTCAAAACATTATATCAAGGCGTCTTTCTTCTCAAAAATATTCTTTCGAGATTTTTTGAAATAAGATTTTATCGTCTTGAAAAAGATAGCAGTTTACTGAATTCTATAATTTTGGAAGTGCATAATAAATTCTTAGATTTTTAATTGCAAGGATTTTCGCCTAATGCTATAGTAGTAGCGAAAGCTACAGCATAAATTTCACAAGACGTGGAATCCAATTGTATATCAACAATTTCAAAAATGATATTGCGTTAGCTTATTTGCGGATAACAGCGATGAATATATTAGGTGAATTAATTCGGTCCGTTTTTTTCTTCCAAAAAAAAAAAAAAACTTTAGTATGAAAAAACATGAAAAAGTACACTAATCAAAGTATTTGCCATCGCTTGCTACTATTTTTTCCATCTATCTGGCAGTTGTTGCATTCCGTGACGGGAAAACGACTCGTCCTTCGAAGCGATCCATTCACTGAGCCATTTCTCTATTTTTTCATAATTGTTGAAGTGCTGCTCCGAAAGCCCGTGTACCATCGATCTGAACAAGTGATAATCGGATGGAGCAATATCTGGTGAATACGGCGGATGAGATAAAATATCCCAGCCAAATGCTTCCAAGGTGGCCTTCACAATCTTTCCAGCATGTGGCCGAGCGTTATCGTGCTGAAAGATCACTTTATCGTGTCTCTTTGCATATTCCGGCCGCTTATTCTTCAATGCGTTGTTTAAACGGATCAATTGTTGTTGATAAAGTTCGGCAGTGATGGTTTGGTTCTGTTTTAATAGTTCATGATACACTACACCTTCCTAGTCTCACCATATACAGAGCATTACTTTTTTGCTGTGAATATTCCGCTTTAGTATCGATGTGGATGGATTTCCTTCGTTTGGGATTATCGGTATATATCCACTTTTCGTCTCCAGTCACAATACGATATAAAAAATCTTTTCTTTTTTGCCTGGCAAGCAAAATTTCAGACACGGCTTTTCGCCTCTCGATGTCTCTTTCTTTCAGTTCGTATGGCACCCATCTTCCTTCTTTGTAAATCTTTCCCATGGCTGTCAAACGCACAGAAATTGTTGATCGATCAACATTCAACAATTGCGTGAGCTCATGTTGCGATTGACACGGATCTTTATCGATTAGCGCCTGCAATTCCTCGTCCTCGAACTTCTTCGGCTAACCTGGACGAAGTTTGTCATCAACACTGAAATCATCACTTTTGAAACGTCAAAATCATTCTCTGCATGATTTATCGGTGGGAGCACTTTCACCATAAGCTTTTACGAGCATTCGATGAGCTTCAGCGGCTGTTTTCTCCAAATGAA